TTGAGATTCTGAGCGTATCGATAAATGTATTGGTTTAACAATGTGTGCGTTTTTTTTCTGTCTGACGTCAACTTTTATGGTAGGTATAGTAAAAATGCTCAGATTTACTACTTACGCATCTTTTCTGATAGGAAAGTTAATGTAGCTATTGTATTCGAGAGATCAAAATTGAAAACTCCAAGTGCTTTTCGAAATTGTCAAAAGGGCGAGGGAAAAATTCCCACCCTGCCGCCGCCAATGATGCCACTGATAAATACTATAATATTACAATTTACAATTATAAATGATGTACTAAATATATATCTGCCAATATTATGGGCTATGGCTAGCTCACCCTATGAACCATATGAGTGGGCTTTATCGTCTATTGATACCTAGCTAATAGCTGAAGTAGGTTGAATAGTATATTATGGTACCGAATACCGACTATAGTACCTATTATGATAATTCATAGACTACCTGTTATAGTTGTAAGTGACTACTAGAGACGAGGGCGTGGCGTGCGCGTAGCGAATGGCCAATACTGCGGACTGTAGTCTAAACAATAAACAATGCATAGAGAATAGTGATGGCCGAGATGACTGTGCCTGTAACATTATAATTATATAAGAACGGTGTTCGTGAAAAAAGTAATGTTTATATAAAGAAAAATATTATACATTTATTTTGTAGATACCCAATTTTACTATGCCGGAGCTTCGTTACTGCCTATCTCTATATCATTAATTACGCTTACTGCCGATAACGATATCCACTTTGTTCGCGTAGTTTTTTGTAGTAAATGTATTATTTGTAAATGATAATAATTTATGCTAGGTACCTACACATAAATGTATGACAATAAACAAACAAATAATTTTTGAATTACAGAGTACCTTCTTGATGGAGTCTGAAAAAAAGAAATGCAAGCTCACCGTCAGGGCCAGACAACTTTGGGAATTGAATATATGTGTGACTTGCACAAAGCCTTTGGACTCTACTTCAAAATTATTGAGTTGCCTTCATGGCGTATGCAACCAATGTATTTATTTGGGTTTTAAAAAAACTGGTGAGGTGTTCTTAATATTCTATTTATCTATAATATTATATTATATTATACAGTTTTAATCATTAATGACATAAGATAATATTCTTCATATTATACCTAGATACTATTATAGCGATTATAATATTATTAAAAATTTGGATGTAATTATAATAGTTTTAAATCAAGTAGCACTAATGTAAGCTGACGGAGTAGAATAAAGAGTAAAAACCAATAATTAAAAAAAAAATGTAATATAAAAAGTTACGAATTTATAACATATTTAGTTAACATGAGCTTTTTAAACTATAAATTGTTGTTGTTCCAAGTTTTGAAAACCATAATAATGTAATATAAAGTGCCTTACTTAAATGCCTAATTCCATTTTATCTATAATGTATCAGATTAGGTACCTAGCTACTAAAATGATAAAACATGCTTTTCCTGCCTTCTGGTAAAATTAATAATTACCATTTGTTGCCTTATCATCGTTGGCCTACTTTTTTGCGTAACACGACTACTCCATGGATTCCCTAAACTCTGCACTTAATGGCTTATATATATAATATATACTATAGTAGGTATAATATTAGGTACAGAGGCGTTTGAATCATAATTTTAGTATTATAATAAAAATATGTAAAATGTTTGTGTTGTAATAAGCTTTTAAGTCGTTTATACGCCTATTGTAGTATTGTACCTACCTATATAAATCAAATTAAGTAGCAATAAGAATTATTATTATTTAAAAACTATAGGTTAAGATCATGTAATAATAAGTGAAATTCAAAACAAATCATTGTATTCACTAAACTAAGCAACAACATATTATAAATTCATCAAAACAAGGTCAAGACAACATTTACTTAATAAAATAACAATTCATATAATTTTAACCATAATACCTATATAATATTTAACCAATGACAATAAGTAGGTTAAATTTGATTATTTATCAAAAAGAATAAGTGGAGACAGAAGAAAGGTTCTGGTATGGTGATCGTTTGACATATATCGTGACCCGTCATTTGGTCCGGTAAATTATATCCGGCGACAATTGATCCACGACATTTGATCCGGTTCAAAAAGAACTTGTACCAAAAATATCCTGCTAAAAAATGTCCGGTAACAAAAAAATATAAAATATAAATATATAGTTTTTTTTTAATTAGTTGTTATTTTATTTTCATAATTTTTAAAAACGTCATTATAAAACAAATATAGAATTTAAATATATAAAAATTAGTTATGAAAATAAATATGGAATAAATATATAGAAATTAGTTAGTTAGTTAAAAATGTATAGTATAGTATAGTACGTATAGTATTTTAGAAAAATAATCAATAATAGTCCCTATATATATATATATATAAATATATTTATATATAATCTACCTTATATACAGAAAACGGTCAGAAAAACCGCAAATTAACGAATCTAATCAGTTCTCAACGATTTATCAGATATAAATTATTATTATGTTGGAGATAGCGATACATCCGTTTTTTTCGATTTTAGTACATGTGAACACCTAGCCGTTTGCAAACGTGTATGAATAAAAAAAATTAATCTGGGGGAAAATAACCCTACAAAAAAAAAAAAAATATAAAAACATAGACCAACGTCTTAAAAATACAGTAGAAAACTATGAAACTTCAAATATCATTACGTATTTGAAGGGTATCGCTCATAATTTTAATTTATAAACATTTGTATTCCATATTATCACTTTTATTATCATAAATATTATAAATTTATTACGTATTTGAAGGCTATCACTCATAATTTTAATTTATAAACATTTGTATTCTATATTATTACTTTTATTATGACGTTTTTGAAAATTATGAAAATAAAATAACTAATTTTTATATATTTATATTTTATATTTTTTTGTTACCGGACATATTTTTGTTGTTACCCATTTTTTATATGCCTATTTATATTTTATATTACTTTTAAAATGACGTTTTTGAAAATTATGAAAATAAAATAACAACTAATTAAAAAAAAAACTATATATTTATATTTTATATTTTTTTGTTACCGGACATTTTTTAGCAGGATATTTTTGGTACAAGTTCTTTTTGAACCGGATCAAATGTCGTGGATCAATTGTCGCCAGATATAATTTACCGGACCAAATGACGTGGAACCGACATATATGACATTATTGTTTGTAGGCTATACTTGCCGATGACAAATTGTCTAATTATGGGAGAGAGTATAGAACAATTTAATAAGAAAAATATAAAACACACAATTTTAACGCAATAGTTAGTATAAATATCAAATATATATGCCATTGATAATAATTAATACTGTACATTTTTTTTTATACCATGTTTTTTACTTTTTTCTTGTCCATACAACTGTACCTAAATATATTTTAGATAATGAGAGAAGCGAAAGAATGTATTGATTTTAAAATTATGTGTTTTGTTTTTTTTCTGTCCGTCATCAACTTTTGGGAAAATTTAAAAATGTTCCAATATTCTACTTCAGCATCATTTCTGGTTAGGTTAGGTTAGGTTAGGTTATTCTAGTTGGTGCATTAAAAGAGTCGATATTTAAAATTATCAGTAGTTTTTAAAAGTACAGAAAAAAAACAAAAAAAAATTAAGGAAAAATGGGAATTTTTGACGAAATCAATTTTATATTTTTGGTGTTACTTAAAAAACAATTATTAATTAATATAGACATGTCCAATTTTCACTAAATGTTTATATTGCCATTTTCCATACATGATACAATTTTTGACTCTTTTTGAGTCCTTTAAGGCAATCAGAATATTTCAATTTTTTGAAGTTTGTAATTTTACTCAAAAAAATTGAACACGTATTACATAGGTTCCACATAAGTTGTCAAAATTGTAATAAAAAAAAAAATGAGCGTTAGTCCACAATATTTTTTTATGATTATATACCTACAGTTAAAATGTTGATGAAATTCACCAATATTCCGAAAATTAACATTTTTGTTGGATTAGGTGTATAGTTTATTTTGAATAGTATTCTATGTATAATTAATATTATCATGTCCTACATATACCTACTTATTATGGATAGTAAATATTAAAATATGTCATAAAAGAACATATTTTACTAAGTATACTTATCTAGTTCTAATATTCTATAGGTATAACAAGTATAACACTTATTTATAAATATTATATATTATATTATTTTGAATATATCGGTTAATTATTATTATTATGATTTATTTAATTTGAGTGTAAAATATTAAAAATACATTTTTGGGGTAATGGTTTCAAATACAAACTTTTTTTGTTACAAATAATAGTAACTATTTTTTATATAAATTAAGATGCTGAAGACTGAAAGATGCATTTTGTATATGAATAAAAAATTTTAGACCATGATGCATGATAGAATACTTTGTGCAATTAATTGTATTGAAGTACAAAAAAAGCATATAACTACTTGTATTTGTTTTACTTTGCAACTGTAGTAAAAGTTTGTTTATCATATTGTTTTTTTTTATTGTTTATGTAGGTAATTTCGTATGCGATTGTGGAGTGGCAACTGACATTTCAAAAAGACTCATAAATTGTACATTATTTTGTGAACAGTTTGATGAAGTAATCACAACTTTTATAATATATATGTTATATACTAGCTTGAATATTGTATACTCGGGGTACGGGTGCAATTTAATGGAAAACACTGGCCAGTAGGAAAGGGGGTACCTACTTAAGTAGGTAACATTTTAGCAGGCAGTTAATAAAACTAATACATTCGATGATTACTTTATTGATTTATTGAAATCACTTCAGTAAATCTTGGCGAAGCCATACCCCCTATTATAGCATTAAGGCACACTCCTCCACTAACATTCACAAATTTCGCCTGTATAAATTATTATCAGAATAAATAAATATATAATATATAATATAAATATGATTTTAATTTTTCATTCATATGTTGCCTTTAGTATATTTTAAGAAACGATTATATGGATGAGGAATACCAAAAAAAAGAGTATGGTCAATATATAACGAAAGTCCCATGTCCAAATTGCAAAGATGTAAGTACAATTAACTATATAGGTACCTATGAATAAGGAATTATAATACATCTTGGTTTTTAATAAATTACACATCAAGCACAATTACGTTTAACCAAAATATGTAACGGTTTTTTTCTTTTTACAAAAATGCATTAATTGTTTTAACTAATTCGATTTCCAAAAATATTACAATAAAAATTACTTATTAATTATTATATAGGTAATCTATTTGAAAACATGTTGAAAATATTTCACACTGAATATATTTTTTGTATAATAATTTATGACAATTTTAAATATTTTAAAATTGATTCTTATAATAAATCATAACTTTATTGTAATATTGTCACATAACTCAGTTTTATATTTATTTACGTTACAGAAATACATTGAGGCATATTGTACTACATGCAATAAATTGCACTGTGCACTGTGCCAATTAGTGAATCATAGAACTCACCGTTTTAAAACGATAAGCAAAGCTATTGAGGAGATCCGTTCAAATTTAATGAAAAATAAAGTTGACTTATGGTATGGTTAGGATTTTTATAATTTCTATATATTAAATTGTTTAAGAAATCTCTACTGTTTGAATTTTTTAAGAATAATATATTATGTATATTTTTTTAAACAGTGAAAAATCAAATTTTGCTTTTCAAGTAAAATCATGCTTAGCGTCAAATATAACTACCCTAAGAACGCAGAAGAATGAAATGAAAATAGAAATACAGAAAAAATTTGATGAGTAAGCATATTTCGCCTAATTTTTATTTAGCCTAATTCAGTAAAAAGTAAACAATTTAAATATTTAAGTATGAAATATCCGCACCTACATATTATTATCATATTATCTAACTACAATAACCTAACGATGCATCTATATTCTATACTATTCCGGAACTAGAGTAGACATATTATATAACCTATGTATTATCACAAAATATATTAAAAAAAATCTAGGTACCCATATTGGCCCATTTCAGCTCTAAGCAATTTTGAATTTTGACGACGTAATAATAAGTTTTTCGTAAACTAAGATTTATTTTCTGCTCTTAAAAAGTTATAATGTGTGCTTACCTAATACGTAATAGGCGGTGGCTAGCAAAAATAAAAACATTATAGCTGGCATTTTATAAAAATTATAATCGATATACCTATATAGGTATCTCCAATCCTCATAATTTCTAAATATTTGTAATTTCATATTTTTTTCTACAAATAAATAGATTTTGATAGTTTTGAGAGCGTTTTTTTTTTCTCGAATAATAAATATATCTATGAATGAAATTTACACCGTTCAATGATAAATCTCTGACATTTGATTAACCCTTTCACTGCTATGCCCGCATATATGCGGGCGAAGAAAACATTCTTGATATGCTATGCCCGCATATATGCGGGCAATCGAATTTACAATTATTAAGAAAAACGCGGGAAATTTGTTATAGGTTGTGTTATTATCTACATGTTGTGTTATTATCTACATTGTTATCAGAATTGTGATATCAGTATATCACTAATATTCAAGGAGATATTAAATATTTTCCGGTACAAAGTGATAAAAAATTTTTTTTTTTTTTTTTTTAAAAACCTTCAGCACAGGGCAAGTACTTTTGATTTTAGTACATAGCAGTGAAAGGGTTAAACTACATTAATTTTAATGAACGTTCAGAATATTATAGATATCGTTTCTTTCCTTAAATTTTTAAGCGATGAATGTTCAATGTTCATGTTCGATAACCGATTTTAAAAGAACTTTTTCATCTTCACTAATAACTATAATACAGTTTTGAAGTAGGTTGTAGCTAATGTACTTCAATGTACTTCTCCATTTAACACCATGTAATTATTTTAAACTAATAACATTTTGTCCAGTGCCCCATCCCCCCTGCAGAGCCCTCTTTTTTTTAATAACTAGCTGTATTTAAATCTTGTGAGCACTTGGCTTCTTCGTCATATGAAAATAAATTAAATGTTAACTATTATCACAGTTAAAAGATAAAACTGATAAAAACTTACAACTTACGACTTCTGAGTTCTGATATCATTTTCAACCGCCTAAAACTTATATCTTCTTCATATAAACACAGAATAAATTAAAACTATTAATAATGTTAATAAATAATAATAAGTTCTGGGATTTTAATGCCCTAAAAACAAAAAAATGCACTAAATAAAATTCTTTTATACTCTTAAACTTCTGAATAATTCACTAAAAATGCCCTACACTCCGTTACAAATGTTAATATAAATTTGTTATAGGTAACTAAATGATAATATATATTTTAAAGGATAGTTTTACAGACGGAACAGACGGATAATAATAATAATTTTAATAATAATAATAACAATAATAAAGATAAAGGTAATAAATGATAATAACATAATGTGTATTGTGATCAAATCTAATTATTGTCGTCACTCGTTACCCCCTTATTGGTTATCGAAAATCATTACCTACATCCAGCCCGAACCTCTATAGAAACATGTAGTAGTTCGTGCCTACACCCACCTTTCATAATGGTGTCATTATTAATAATAATAATTATCGTTCACAGTCTAAAATATCACCCAATCTAGTAAAATACCCGTCTTTGATCCAGATGCGCTATTTTTTAATACCTACTTAAATATATCTTAGTCTTATAATTGTTTGTTTTATTTCATTAACTTGTATTAAAATTAAACACAGAATATTAAGACAAATATTAAAATACATACTTGTATATAAACATATTACCAGCAAAAAATCATGTGTAGTTTACAATATACACGAGTGTATGTGTTGTACAGTAACATAAATTATTATCTTAATAATAATTATTATAATATATAATGATAATATTATGATAATTATACGATTTTCATGTCACAATGTGTTGATCTTCTAATTTACAAAATAATATGTTACAGATTTCGAGACGAACTGATAATAAGCGAAGATAGAATGATGGATTATGTGGAATCGTATTATAACGTAAAATTGGAGTATTTGACTAAAAATAAATTTTTAATGGAGGAATTAAAAAAAAAATACGATTTCTATTTGTATTTTTCTCAATCTGCTTTGAAAAGAGAAAACCAGGCAGATCTAGACATGACAAAGTACGCTGATCGTTTATCATTTAAATTTATTAAATATATTAGCTCAAATATTGTAATCTGAGTAGGTACTGATGTTAAAGAAATTCAACTCACCTGTTCTTTTTACAAAAATTGACCCATCTTATGCCAATTGTTCCTACTGTCCTAGTTATCGGTTAAAAATTTTGAAAACGTCATGTTTAAATTCGTCATGAAGTTTGGTAAAAATATCTTTTCACTTTTTTGAAATTTAAAGCTTAAATACTTCAAAATTAAATTTTTAAATTTTAATATATTATTAATATTGATCCAAACTAATTAACTATCAAATTTCAGAAAGTTAATTTTAAGTAAACTTGAAGTCTTCTTAATTATGTTTTCAGAAATATTATCGGATAGCTATCCGTTAATTGGAAATTTTGCCATTCTCGATACTTTTAATATAAAAAAAAAAAAACAAAGTAATTAATATTTGTGCAGTTATTGATATAATGATATAATATCATAATAAATGCATGCATGACGGCAGCAATCAGCGGTTTATAATACTTTACAGTCATATATACAGACTGTCGACCGATCACGTATACTCAATACTGCACACATAATATATTATGCACGCACGGACTTAGACATTTGTTTATATTGAAATCCTTAAAAATAGTGGGTATCGAATAAGATGGTGTAAATACATTTGAGTTTATAAACAAACTTCCAGATTTCAATCGAGAGTAATTTATTACCTACATTTTTCATTAAATCATCACATTTAGATATCACACAATAATGGAAAAGAACTTAACGTAGGTACAATATAGCTGTTTCTTATGTTTTTTTTCGTCAACACAATAATAAAACGTTAAATATTATGTACCACTCCATTAATTCGTATGAATCGCACGATAATGAAGATTTGTCGATATTTTGTTGATTTTTCAGTTTTTTTACATTATGCAAAATCGTAACTATCGTAAATTATCGTAAAATAAATCGCACTACCCAGACTGCAAAAATTTCCACAATTACATGTTACAATTTGGAGACTTTATTATAAATATTACATTTTTTTAAATAGATTGATTCGCATGAAAAATAAAATAAAATTTTTATTTGTATTATTTAAAATTTACTATTGCACCCAAAAATCTACAGAAACATCTACAGACGAGTGGCCAAATATAAATTATTTTGTATATTAATTATATTTTAAATGTTTAATTTTTAATTTTTCTTAAATAATTGATAGCAGTTTTTATTTGCACTTTTACCAAGAAAATGTGTCAACAATACGATCACTTTCTTTTAGCTGATAATAATTTACGTATTTTACGTTTTAATAATATTACACTTCCGATTTGTTATAGTTTAGTCAACAATCAACTGTCGAGTGTCAGAAAAGGTTTCATGATGGACATTAGTGGATTGGATTCAACTAATAAAAAATGTTTTGAATTAACTGTTGTGTTGGACGATACACTGCGTAAATTAATCGATTGTGAGTATACCTACATTATACATATTTTATACAGAGTGATTTTTTGAGCATGCTCATATCACTCTGTTTGTATGCTTAAATTATGCATTCATTATTCAAATTCTGATTTTTGTAATTTATAAATATACATTTTAAATTGAAGATCAAATTTTCGAATATTATAGATTTTTCTGTACCACTTAAGGATGATCCTTTGACAATAAAAACTTTTTTTTTTTAATTGGATCTCCCATTTGCAATATTGTATTAATTATTATTCAGCAGATATTTTTTTTTGAAAATTTTTATATATCTAAATCAAAATTCAAACAAGTAGATCTTAAGTTATACATAAGTTAGTGACTAGTGTAGTAAAGATAATATTATGTATATGGTCATGCATTATGTAGATACCTATGGGGACTTGATGATTTTAAAATGTTAGTTACCTACTACTATTGATCTAACAATATAAATAATTTGTAAAAATTATACTAATAAATACTACATGTCTACATCTATCTAATATTACTTATAGTTTATATTTTTGTAAAACCATTTTTAAGGATTATTATCCTTAGCATAAACATTTTAATAACTTAAAAACTATACTCATTAGAATTTTGATTTAGTTACATCGAAATTTTCAAGATACTCATCTGCTAAATAATTTGCAGTAAAAAAGCCGGTTCTCATTTGAAAAATAGATGTTTGATTGTCACAAGAATACAAGATATTCCTAAAGTAGTTGGTACAAAAAAGTCAGGAATTAAAAATATAATTGGTCTTTAGGTATAATTAAAAATTCTAAAAATAATAATTTAAATAAATAACGGAAAAATCAGGGTGATCAAGGTTAAAAAATCACCTGTACCTATATTATATATATAATATAATATAACATATCCCTTTCTGACTTCGCCAAAAACGAATAGACCTATTACTGTCAGTGTGAATTGGTTGATAATGCAGTTTATAATATTATATTATATTTTGTAGCCGTTAAAAGCATTGCAATTTCTAAGCCACAAACATATGTAAAAGCAATTGATGCGATTAGTAAGACAGTGGATATTACATCTTTTCCGGGATACCTCAGTGCCACTAAGGTAAGTTTTAAAACTTTATAAATGATAGTTTAGACATATAATCTGCTGTTCCACTATATCTTACGAATGTGCGAATAATATAACGTTCAGTTGTAGGACACTCGTGTTTTGGCCCTGCAATGTGGTGCATGGTCACATCCAGTGGACCTAGCGCCCTGCCACCTATATAATAATTACCATATTGTATTTTGGGAAATTTGCAGTTGTGAAACTGACTCTTTTGTCAGACAAAATGTTTTTATACATAAAAAACGAACAGCTTATTAAACTTATAAAAATATCAGATCTGGAATAATAGCAAAAAGCAATAAAAAAGTTTAAAAAAAAAGTATTTACATAAAAGAAGTCTAAAAAGAAAAAAAACATATTGGTTTATTTGGAATCAGAATGATATTTATACATAACAATTACATTTCTATCTCATATGTATAAAAAAAGAAGCATACACTTTAAAATCCGAGCCCTACTTATTACTTATATAGGTACTATCAAAATAAGTATTCAATATTCATAATTCATTACAAAAATTATCTACTAAATTTGATTAATTATTTTTAGACAGTAATATATTTTATATAATAACTAATACCTAAATAAAACGATATAACAATATAGTACTCATTAAGAACCATAATACATAATGGTCACCGAAAAAAAATATTATTAATAATTGATTTAGTATTTTAGTAGGTAGTATATAATAATAATAATACAAATATCTTATATTAAATATACATACGAGTACATAATAGATATTATGAGAAAAAAACAAAAAAATATTAGTTAATACATTTTGTGTATTGCAGTCATTTGATGAACAAAAAAAAAATAATTTTATTTTTCAATAATGTTGACTTCAATATAGTAATTAATGGTAAATGATGATAACTAAACCAATTCAAAAAAATCTTTTTTCTTATGTTTTGAGTTATTATTTTGATAAAAATTGGGAATTTTTTTTTTTTGTATCAATTCTAAAATACACAAAACTAATTATTTACTGGAAACTCCAAGTGACTATTTTACCAGGAATTTTTTATTCGGAATATTAATTATTGACAATTTTATTTTCTGAAAACCTAAATATGAAATACAATTATTGTTTTTCAGAAAATTGAAGATATCCCGATAACTATAATTGATGATAATCTAATGGACAAAGTGAAATATAATTTACTCAAACAGCAGACAAAAAGTTTAAAATCTTCTGCAGGTGATTCTTCACATTTGGATACTAATATAGACAAAATGTAATTGCAAAACCAACAAGGGGACATAGTATTAAACAGTAAGTAATAGTCTGTTTTACTGGGCGAATTTTTAAAAATGTAAATGGGTTTGGGAAATTTAACATATTATGTTGAGAGAATGATTTTCAATTATTGTAATGAGTTTTAACTATCTGATATAATACAATATGCTGTAATGCGTTTGGAAATATATTAGGTATCTGCAGTGCATATTATGTATTTTTCCATTTATTTTAAAATACTTCAAATTGTCCATGAATTCCACTAGATAATAGATACATTATAATGGTTAAAATTAATTTTATTTAAAATCAAGTTTAAAATAGTATTACTTAAATTATATTAATGTTTTGAGGGTTTTTTTTTCATTAAAATTGTGAATCGATAATAGTAACCACTAAACACTTATTTTAAAGTTTTATTGCCTTGAAATTTAAAATATAATAATATACTCTTTAATACATACAATAAAATAATTTAATCTTAAAAAAAGGTAAGAAAAAACTCGAACTTTTAAACTTACCTAGCTAAAACCTGCAATTTTCAAAAAAGTTGGTTTTCTTTTTTTGTTGTAAGTTGTAACTCAAACACAATTATTAGTCTTCAATAATTATAATTTTCATCAAAAGGATACATTAGCATTTTCTATACTGCCATACAGGTATATATGCCATAATAGTAATATGGTATAACTTTCAAAATATTTTTGAGATAAATATAGATATGTTTGATATAATATCGTTTTTTTTTTTAGTTTTATATCTGTTACCTAATATTGAAAAAAAAATATTGAAAATCAAATACAATGTTCCTTTCCTCATTAGCTGTTATTATAGATATTTAAAATTATTTAAGATAGGTGCATATTATGGACATTATTTTTTTTAAAGCATATTTGTAGTCAAATATTGACAAATTTTGTCAAATACACGAAAATGTGTAAATTATTTTGGAGTCAAAAATATTCAATTTTTATAGATAAAATTGGAACATTTAATACAACGTTCTTTTAGTTTATAGTGAAACCAATTATCTAAAAAATATTAAATTTGAAAACATTTGGGGTTTCAAATTTGGACCAGATTAGATATTTAAACGAAGAATAAGGATTATAGTTAAAATGTTGAAATTTAAAAATATTATTAGTGGGGACTTGAAACCTTTATGGCTTTATCTACTTTTATTATTATACCTATTATACTGTACGCAGTGACATTTTCAGAATATTTAGTTAATTTTAAGACTATTTATAGTTTATACCACTTACCACCTACCGTATTACTTATACACATATTAAAATAAATTACTATTATAATACAAACATATCCTACAATATACTTAGTACAATTTATAGTACCTATATAGTACCTACCTAATAGTACCTTGTCACCTAGTAACCGTGTCTTCGATCAAAATCGTTGTTTTGTATGCAACGCGTAAGTTATCATATTGAGTTCAAATCTAACAGAAATACTACAGTGGCCTTATTATACTGCTCTTTATTCCATTTTAATTGTTGAATTTGTCATCAGGCGATGATATTTTAGAAGTTATCATAATGCTCATATAATCCCTGTTGCTTATAACATGGCTGATGATAGTTAGGTATCACTGTATCAGGGGCGTAATGTTTGCTAAAAACGTATATCCCCCCACAAACCAAAATCCCTAATTACGGCACTGTTAGGTATGTTGAGAAATAAAACTTTAATATTGTGGTTTAAAGTTCAAGCAACTAGGTATAACTCCAAATATTTTAATGAACTATTTATTTAAATTTAAACCGATAAAACTAAAATGTATCTAGTCTCATGTGTATTAATACTTAATAAGTGGTATAATTTTGGTATAAAAGACTATAATAATTGCTTAAAACTATAGTCTCAAGATTATTTTTTGTTATGGAATATAGATTACCATAAATCATAATACCTATACTTATTACCATATTAATTTTGTTAAATTGCTTTCGTGTCTACTTGTTTACGATTATCGTTATTTATGATTTGTTATAGATCAAAGTAATCCAACACGTTTAACACCGCAGAACTCTTCATACAATCAAGTAGGTAGATATGGAGGCCAGTAGTATATATTTGGCGACTCTGTACATTCGAATCGAACCGTTTTTATCATCCATATTCAATATACAGACAACGGTCTTATCTTCTAAGACCTTGATCCAAACGTTCCCTCCCGGAGCATTCGTTTTATCAGTTTTTATCTCATCGGTAATCACTTAGTACTAATAGTATTTATTTTTCAAAAATATGTTAATAGGTAGTAATTTAATGATTAATTATTATTTATTAGTAGTAATACCTATGTCCTATTGTAATTTGTAATTGTTACTTATTAATAATCGATTGTAATTTGAAGGTTAAAAAAATTGAGTAAAAGGTCTTTTAGTCTTGCTCATTGGTTGCAATTTTTACTTTTGCTATATTATATTTTTCTTAATTCTTATTATTATATTATTATATTTATACCTGACGACACCTGTGACTGTGAGTATCAAAATAATATTGTATACCTATATTTTTTAATGTACTTTGAAACTTTGTTAAACAGAAAACCACCTACGATTATAAAGTATACAATGTTGCACATTTTTTAAGCTTCAACAATTCTGGAAAAACAATTCCCCCCCCGTCTTACACACGTACGACATAGACAAAACGGGTTTAGGCAGTCTGAGTACAACTCGCTCAATTTTGGTTCTAGAGTAAAAATACCTATAATGAAATTGAATTGTGATAATATTTCTAATGGCAAGACGCTGCGGTTTTTTTAAAAATTTTATTTTTTAAAAGTCAAAAGTATTTTAAAAATGGTGAAATTTTTTCTATTTCCAAACGATATAATGAACGTTATATTGGGTATAATGGAAAAACCGCAGCGTCTTGCCCTTAGAAATATTATCACAATTCAATTTCATAATAGGCATTTTTACTCTAGAACCAAAATTGAGCGAGTTATACTCAGACTGCCTAAACGCGTTTTGTCTATGTAGTACGTGTGTAAGACGGAGACAACACATGCGGGTGTAGCGTCCTCTTAATTTACTGATAAAAATTTAAAATTCAATGTTGTACACATTTTAGATTCAAACGCTCATAAAATGTTACTTTCCAGTAAACTTTTTTTTTTATTTAAGATAGTACCAATTGTGAGGAGTTTTCTATCAACATTTATAATGTTAGCTATGAAAGGAAAAACTTATATAAATTTCTAACTGAAAATTTAAAAAAAAATTTGAAGAATTCTAAATTCTAATATTTGATATAGGGTTTTATTTTATATTCTAAAGTAGAATATTTTTCTTAGTATTTTGATACATTAAAATCGAATTTGAGGCGAGTAGTTTACGAGTTATAAGTATTTAAAGTTTAGACGAGCGGAGTGGAGTGGTTCGGGGTTACCCCGCGAAATGTTTGTCCACTTCACCGCTCATCAAACTTTAAATACTTATAACTCGTAAACTACTCGCCTCAAATTCGATTTTAATGTATCAAAATACTAAGAAAAATATTCTGCTTTGGAATATAAAATTAAAACCCTATGTTGTTATTCAAAAAAGTAAAAAACTTAAAAAACTATAAGGATAAAAAATATTTAAAAATATAATTTTTTAATAAAAACGTTGTTTTATAAGCGACTTGAAACTATGTAAAAAAATATTTTCAAAAAAATTTACACTTTTTGAAATAACGAGTGTTGTTTGATAAAAGAATTACCCAGTATATTATACATATATAATATTGTGTTTATGTTATCCACTAGTTGAAATTAATAACATAGCTATAGGCTATCGCTATACACTCTGTCTCTCTAGACTCTTGTCACTTGTATCAGTTGCCTGCCATCTAGTCCCTGAAATATCCAAATTTTCGTACCACACACATACCTAGTCTCATATCGATCAAATCTAAATTATTTTTAGATAAACACTAGTGCCTATACTATATATACTATACACAATTTTAGGGACTGCTGCCATCCATTATTATACCGATTTCGAACTGTCGACGCGTGTACACTATACACTTATAGGTACGTCTTACGCTTGCATTCTAAAGTATTATTATATAGACCGTACCACGTATAATAGTAAATTATCTATGCTGACCACTGTCTACTCACCATTCGCTCTATAAACGCTATACGCCTATACCTAACAGGTAAGATTAATATTACTTTTAGTCTATGACTGTATTATAACTTATTATAATAAATCAAATTATATAAAATTATACCTGCTACTAATTATCAACTATGCCTATAATATTTTGGTTATTATAATAGTAATAATATTACACGACCTACGTACTCAAATGTCTTAATACTCACTGAATTTTTTTTAATATATAAGCGTATTATACACATGTAGGTACCTTAATTTCAATTTTTTTGAAAACAATAAATTGCTTATTAGAAGTAGTACCTGCCTAGGTAAATACCTACCTATTTAAATACTTTTTGATTAAATCTATAGTAAAAATAAAACTCTTATTTTTTTTTTTTATTTAATTAATCGGTAGGTCTGTAATCTTTCTCTTGTATAGGTATAATATATTTTAGATAAGTACTGCCAGCGAAAAGTGGCCTATAGTTACCAATGCTCGATACACTGCTTTGACACATGTGACATTTCGCATTAAAAATAAATTTAAATTCAAAACAACCTAATTAAATTGTGTTCATTTATATTAAAAATTAATCATCAAGAATGATAGGTATATTGTGTATTATAAATTCAACTTACAGCTCATTGTTTAAATGTAATCTTTGATTTTTTTATTTCCTTATACTAATGAAAATGTTTTCTGAATATTAGTACATTATTAAAATATCTATAACATTTATGTGGAAATGTGGAAATGTTAAAGAGCTCTATATTTTGCTTATAATATTATGGAACAACATTATGGAAACTTAATTTTTTTCCCATGGTAATTTTATCATAATGTTAATGAATCTTTAAAAATTGTTTTTATAATAATA